ATCATGGTTGCAAATATCTACGGCGAGTTAGGGAATAGCTATGCTTTTGTTGCTGGCTTTTTCTTCCTCTTCTACGGAGTCGATGCAGACATTTTCTAATGAGTTAATTCCATTAGGAAAAAAATGTGAAGTAATTATATTACTCGAGACAACCTCTCATCTACCTCCACGGGTTTCACTTGTAACAATTAGACACAACCGTTCGTGTGTGTTCATGTCTTCTAAATTTTCCCAAATACCCCTGTAATGAAAATAAAACAAAACCTTCTTCTTCAGTGGCATAGACGATGTCGCTAACACCCCGTGGAGGGAGGTCTGGATCCCCCTGCAGGGGGTCGGTGGGGTGTGGGGTGGGGGGGGCTCACGCACCCCAACTGACATTCCTTGGGGTCGATCCTGTTGACTAAGCGTGTGGCAGATGGGACTCGGGCGTAGGAGCAGGAGGGCTGGGAGTCTCGCTGGAGGCCCGTTTTCACAGCCTCCCAAGCCTGCCTCTGGGCTGCCGCCCCTTACCAGGGTCTGCTGGGACTTGCTCCCTTCCATGATCTCCCCGAGAAGTGCAGCACTAATTCAGGGAGAGGTCTGAGCCTAGCAGCTTGGCTGTTCTTAAACCTCGGCAGGCCACTTCGGTGATACCAATTTTAATGACCTGCCCTCGCTTCACATTTAACTTACAAGTTATGTAAAGCCCCACAGAAAGCATCCCTGTCACTGTCTTGCTGAGACAGACTGGGCATTTTCTTTCCACAGCCCCCAAAATTCATTCCCCACGAGCATCAGGCAGAGATCTTCAGGCAACGAGAAAATGGAAAATGCACAGTTTCTTCGTGTCTGAAGTGTGTTTGGTTTCAAAAAGAAAAATAAAAAAGCATCTCAATGAGCGTCTGGATTCCATCCACTTCATCTTTAGAATAACTGCGTGAGGTATGAAGGCAAACACATAAAAGGGGAACAGGCGGTCCGGGTGGCTGAGACCGCGAGTTCACTCACCGGAGCCTTCACCCTGCTCTGAGTGGGAATGTGGTCCAGACCCTGCCTTAGCCACCCCAGCCTCACCACTAGCTTCTCAGAGACCGACTTCGTTCTGAACGAGAGGCTCTAAGAAGTTGCTCAGTGTAACCTCTTGGAGACTTCATTTCCTCATGTGCGAAACAGAGCCCTCACCCCCCCACCCCGGGTCACACCCGTTTGAGCGAATGTTCTGGAAGTGCTCTGCACAAGGCAGAGGGAGCACCGGAACAACAGCAACTTTCCCTAAGATGCTGCTGTCAAAGCAGCTCTGTCTGAGGAAGGTTAAAAAAGAAAACAAGACTTCCACAAACCCACCATGTCAGGGAAACCCTGAGGGGCCCCACTCAACGTGCGGCACGTGTGGTCCCCGAGCTGCCTTCAAGCATGGGTAATCACAGGCCTTAGGAGATCTGTGTGCGGGAACTGACTCCTTAGGGGACTTTCTAAGAACAGGTCCCTTTCTGCTGATCTTTGAAAGCATTCACACCCAGCAACAGCAAACATGCCCACGCTTAACTGAGAGAGGACTCCTCGGAGTGGTCACTTTGGAGAACTCCGGAGTTGTACCTAGTTCTGCTCCTCCTCTAGCCAGACGGACTCCACGGACAGGGGCAGGGGAGGCTGCCCCGGACCCTCGGGCCCCGCCAGACACCCTCAGTGAGCGGCCATCGCCAGCAGGGGGCGCAGCGGCCTCTTCACCTGAGGAGGGCTGGCAGTCCGGTGCTCAAGGTGACCAGGACACCCAAGTCCCATCTCTCTCATTTTTTTCTTTCAAACTAAGAATTTCACAAACCATAACAAGAAACTTGTAAATGGTCCAGTTTAGAGAAGGGACTGAAAATGACAAACGGTATTGTATTTTGGCATGGATTTCTGAGTTTGCAAAAATAAAGATCTGTGTGTGCAAAAAATATAGGCACCATTTGAAAAATGTTAAGCTACTTACATATGGTACATATGCTACACACACACACACACACACACACATACACACACAGTTTGTTTTCAAATTAATTTGAAAGGCTATTTAGCTCTGAGCTATCACTGCATTCAGTTATATCTGACCCAACACAGCCTGCAAGTCCGCACTGATATCTTTGGATAGCAGTTCTGTTCCTGGGATTTGTTTGAAAGCGTTTAGGTTTTCACGGATCACTGGAGGTTCCTCATTTTTCCCCCTTCTGTGTTATGTAGGTATAAGCCGTCTTTCTAGGCATAAACTGTCCACTGGTAAAAATCAATTTTGATTTTATCAGTATTTATTACTGCTGGTGCCAGCAATTTAGAAGCCTAGAGCGGGAAAACATGCAAACTAGGAGAAGGAAAAAAAAAACTAAAAGCCGGGTCCTCATACCAACAAATAATACAGCCTGCTGTCTTTAAGAAGTATTTTGTATTGTGCGCAGGGAGCTTAAATTATCAATTTAAAAATTTACAAGACTCTGTTATTGCTTACATCTCTTATGTATCGGTGGGCTCGGTGGCAGATTTCTAAAACAAAGGCACCGCTCCGGGAGGTGCTGTAAAGCAGTGCCCGAGGCAGCAGGCAGGAGGGAGGGAGGCCTGGCCACTGCCGGCTTAGGGCTCAGGCTCACCTCCCGGCCTGCGCCCTTGCCAGAGTCAGCCCTGCTCAGTCCAGGCCAGTTTATTATGATTATTTGACTCTCTTTCTCTTGCTTGGGACAGGCCAGGCCACAGGAGGGGACCACACATCTACCTCTCTGCCTGACTCTCATGCTTCCTCATCTGTCATTCCAAGAAAGACACTCAAAGGTGCGTACTTCTCCGGGTTTGAGATCTTGAGTGTTTGTGGCTCTTCAAATGGTCCCTGACCCTTAGCAGTGCTTGCACGCACACACAATGCCTCTCCTAGCACACTCTTTACTGACTGGGTGATTTACATAATATCCAATCTCCCCACCATTACCTTCCCTCTCTCCCTGGGAAGCTCCCTTCTTCTGCTCAGTCAAAAAGCCCCATAAACTAACATGCGTTCACCGAATCTTAACCTCGAAAGGAGAAAGCTTACAGGATGATTAGTTAGAAAGAAGACAACTCTGGATTTTAAATTCTGCTTTTCAGCTACAAACAAAAGGCCCGCATCTCCTGAGAAGCTGAATGCTGTCTCCTGCATATACACAAAACACGAAGTCACTTGCCAAGTCTGAAAACAGAACAGATATCCGAGGCACTCTTTTTAAGAACTCAGCCGCCCCAGTGCAAGCGCGGGCAAGCTCCAGCCTCATACGCCAAATCCCACCAGCTGTTTCTGTGAATCAAGTTTTATGGGAACACAGCCACACCCCTTGAGAAAAAGTCTACAGAGCTCCGCTCCAGAGAAACGGGACTGTGCCGCACTCCCAGGAACAGTCTGAGACCCTTCTGAGTGAGCCTGGTCCTTTCGAGGCCATGAGGGGCTGGAGGCTATCAAGATTGGTTTGCTGCAGCTCCCACATTTGGACAGACTGTAGCCCACTTACAGAAAATTAATGGCAGAAGGCACAGTCTTTTCACCCTGTTCCGTAAGTCCCTGGATCCATGTGGACACGATAATACTGGAGACTAACTTCTACTTGGGCAGCCCTCCCCGTGCACGCACTCAACACCATCTGAGCACCAGGTGTGTGGCTGCGAACTAGGTCTGCTCCATGTTCCCTGCAAGCACTCGGGATACAGTAACTTCCCATGAAGACAGAAGCTACTTACTTAGACCGCAGATGCCCAGCTCCCAGTGTCTAGGTCCCTGACCAGATCCTCAGGGCCAGAACCAAGGCCCTTCTGCCCCAGCTAAGCTCAGGAGGAACATGACTCAAGTGGATGACTTCTAAGAACTGCCTTCCTTTTGATGAATCTGTCTTTTCAAACCCACCCACTCCCTGGCGCCATGCTTAGCATGCTTATCTCTCATCTTTTCTGCACGGCTCCTTGACCCAGAGGAGAGATTTCTTTCTACTGAGGGGCAAAGCAATGGAAGGGCAAGGGTGACCAGCTGCTTAAGATTTTCAGCAGTTTTATTTTTATACTCTCAGTTGACGCCAACAACAAATACATACACACACACACACACACACACGAGATTTATATATATATATATATATATATTCAAATCATTAAACATATGTATTTCTCATCAGTAGGGCTCATTTTAGAACCACCCTTCCAATAACAAAATAATAATGAGGATCATAATAATAATAATATCCCCCCTACAGCAAGTGTGACAAAATGACAAAAGAACTCTTAATTCTGGGGCTTTATTTTAATTTTTTTTTCTTTTTAAGATGCTACATAGTCAAACAGAACTGGATTGGTCTTTTATGGCATAAAATTAATTTACAGTCAAACTCTCAATCGCTACTTGACGATTATCTGAAGAGCCTCCCACCCCCCCCGGCCCCACCCAGCTGGCTCCGTCTGCGGCCGTTCTGCCGCCCCAGTCCGAGCGAGGGCCACTCGGGAAAGGTCAGGACCAGGCTAGGGGCACGTGTGCTGGAAGTATGAGTGGTGGCGGAGGGGCACTGAGGGAACAAAACGGAAGATCAGCTAGTTTCCCCAGCTGAAAGGGTAACGGACTTGACTGTTGCTACTAAGAACTTCCCTCTCTGACGGTTGTTACTTATTTACACAGAGAAACACCTCCTGGCAGCTCTTCTCCAACATTCAAACAAACCACACCTCCGTGTGTACGTAGAGCCCAGAACCTCTGGAGAGACAGGAGCCCTCGGCTCTCCGGCAGCAGTGCCAGCCTCACCCCCTGGCATCAGGCCACAGCATTAATTATAATCTTGTGGCAATAAGGAAACATGAGATGAGATACATTAAATAAGTTAAATATGCATTAAACATCTCTGAGTCACAATTCAGTCTCACTACATGAACGGACAGTAATTTAGCTTGGTCCCTTTAAGAGAACAAAGCATTGACTTTAATTTCCAAAGCGTTGGGTCAGTCGCTGAGCACCCGCCTTCCGCTCCCGATGGGCAGACCCAACACCACCACAGCACAACGCCACTGGCTTCTGACCTCATTCATCGGTCCCAAGGAACCGACGGCCAGGCCCAGGGCAGACCATGGAGTAGCAGGCCGGGGGTGAGCGGGCAGTGGGGGTGCTACGTGGAGGGGACGGCCCTCCCCGCCACACTGGGCTCCGCTCCCCAAAGGCCAGCACCAACAGGCGGGAAGTGGGTCTTGTTCTAAGAGAGGTAATCAACCCAGCCACATGTACCAAGGCTACAAATGTCTAAAGTGACACAACATGCCATTACGATTTAATCACGGTTTCCCTTGTCATTAATAAAGACCATTCTTTTCCCCCCAATCATTTACTATACATTTTTCACTTTCTAAAAGATTGTTACGTTATAATTGTGTGTGTGTGTGTGTGTGTGTGTGCACGCGTGCTCACGCGCAGGGAAGGGGTAATTTAAAGGCAAGACCTGTGAGATGTCATCACACATTAACTTCTTTTTACACATGGTTATGATAAATCCAAACCCCATGGTATGGCGGGCCCATCAATCCAGCGTGCCGCCCTTTGCCTGCCGCCTCTACAAAGCGATCTTCCCTATGATCACACCAACGATGAAGAACAAAACCAGCAGTGCGAGCAGCCGGGCACTGAGGCCCTCGTCCTTCCCGGCCGTGGCTACCACAGGAACAGGGTTGTTGCTCTGCGCTGTCTTCCTCATCCGAAGCCCATCTTCTTCCTACGGGAGCAAGTGCACATTTCAAAGACAACCCAAGGCACCAGAAGAAGAAGTCAACTGTCCAGCTTTATCAGTGTGGGCTTGTAAGCAGACTTGAATCACATGGTGTGGACCAGCCTCCTCATTTTTCAAAGGGAGAAACTGAATCCCACGGAGAAGGTAGCGGCTTGAGACCACTGAGAAAACACTGCCAGAAGCCCCTCTTTGCCTTCACTCACGCACACGATGCTGCTAGCCACCTTTTCATACCGCACATCTAAGCAGGGACGCCTCGGTTCCCCATCACTTACAGAAAAAAAGCCCCTGAGAGCGTCCACCAGGCCCTTTGCACCCTGGGTCCACCCACCTCTCTGGCCATGCCTCTCGACTGCTCTCCTACATCAGACTCCAACCTGCTCTGTCTTCTTTTCCTCTACTGAGCAGGCTTCCCTAACCAAGGCACAGGTTTTGAAATGATAGACACTTCCCAAAGCGCAAATATAAAAATCACAAGAAACTACAAAGTGGGGGGCCCAGAAGCTTTCAAATGCAGAGCTCTGTATTGCTGAGTTACATGTAGACTGCTGGATAGAAGACATGATATGTGGCATATTAAAATGTCACTGAATCTGACAGAGGCATCTCCGATATTTTCTACTTAATGCATGGAATAGAAACTTTTTCTTCCTTTACTGCTCCAAGGCCAAGTCCACACTCCTCAACAGGGCATGCAGCAAGGCCTCTCTACTTGGGCTCAGGTGCATCTCTGGCTAACTGCCCCATCGACTCATCCCCAAACTAGCCAGTCCTGGAGACAACAGGCAGCTAGTCCTTCGAGCTGAGTCTCCGCGGCACTTGTGGTCATCTCTGCCATGGCTGGGATAGCTCATACTTGCACTCACAGTGCCGGGTACATGGGAGGGCCTCAGAAAACGTGTTGGCCAAATGAAAGAATGAAACAACGCAAAACAAGAAATCAGTGTTTGGCAGGATAAAGAATCTTCTAACGTCAAGATTGGTCTGATAATATTTTAAAGATATTCTGCTCATGGGGCATGGCCAATACCGCTGCACAGTGATAAATGACTGGTGTTATTCGATTAACTTCAAAAAAAAAAAAAATGGGCACAGCAAAATACAGCATTTATTTTACTGGGTTTATATAGAAGCTATTTCTACCTATTTATCACTTTAAATGGCACAGGACTCTGTTTCTGAAGAGAAATACACTCAAGGAGAAGCTTTAGGCATATCTTAGATTTTTAGCCAAAAAGTAAAATGCCTGCTTCATAATTTACTCCATACTAAAAGAAGTTACTGAAGGAGGCAAATCAAGATTACTGCAAAGAAAGAAGATGATGCCATTCTCCAGACACTGTCAGTCCTCCTGTATCTATGGCACTGTCAGAATAAAAGAAGTCATCAACCGAACGGCATGTATTTACTACATGTGTCTGGTGCTGTGGTGGTTAAAGAGTGAATGCCAAGGGTGGGTAAGTGGCATCATCGAGAAGGGACTAGACCAGTCTCAGACTTAAGCTGCAACAGAAGTTCCTATGACCAGATGTTCAGAAACATTCTCATCAAGACCTTGTCTGAAACAGACAGACTTTTAAAGCTGGAAGGGGCCTTAGACATGTTTTGCGAGTGGAGGCCCAGGAGATGCTGTGACCATGACAGACTCTGAGCTAGTCAAGTGTGAGCAGGCACCAGCACAATACCTCAGGCCGCCAAGGCCAAAGGAGGCGCCCCACCTCCCTTCACCACCCAGCGCAGCCCACCTTCTAACGCCAAGGCCAACCACCTCGTCTGCATCCACAAGGTGGAGACTCGGGCTTCTCCTTCTATAACCTCCACCTGCCTACCGTGACACTTTCCATCTCCAATCTCATCACCATGTGAACAGTCTGAGGAGACCCTACTGCCGACTCACCTAGAATCTTCAAAAATGAGAATTATGCCTACATTAAAAGAGTACCTATTTACCCTCCTAAAGAAAGATTCTCACCCACCAGGGATGGAGTAGGGTTATAACCACTGCTGTTTTGCATTTAGTCTCAGAGTCTGTCTTCGGCTGACACTAACGGGAGGGCGAGAGAGGCTTGGTTTCCTTACAAGAGGACGAGAGTCTGCAGGCTAAGGCAGGACAATGGAATGGATGTGGACTCTGAGGCACAAAGCCTGGGTTCAATTCTCACTGAAATGTGACCTCAGGCAAGTCACTTAACCTGTTTCTCAGTCTCCTCCATCTGTAAACTGGGGATGGTAACAATTCCTACTTCATAGAAGGTTTAGAAGAGTAAAGAAATTATAACATGTCAAGTACAAGGGAACAAGAATTTAAATAGTTGAGAAACTTCTGCTCAGGGACACTGGATAATTAGGGGGTGGGGGGAATGTGTCAGAGCTCTTTTGAGAACCTGATGAAAGCCACAGAAATTTCTCCCTAGGGAAAAGATGTGTAAATACAAAACACTTCTACAAATGCAGGGATGTGTCAACTTCCCCACCCAAGATCACAGCGGAAAAGCCCCTGTTTTCTGTAGACTATCAGGAAATAAAACACCACTGGGGCACCAGGCTGGCTCAGTCGGTAGAGCATGTGACTCTTGATCTCGGGGTTGTGAGTTCGAGCCCCATGTTGGGCATGGAGGTTACTTAAATAAAATCTTAAAGGAAAGAAAAGAAGATGCCCATTACCTTGAATTGCTTGTTCTCCTCCCGGAGCCTCTGCACTTCCCCCTGCAGCCTCTTACACTCTTCCATCACCTTCTTAACTTCAGTGTCATCCAAAGAAGAACTCAGAGCTTTAGACACCGTTGGTGTTTCTGTCTTTGATGCAGTTGTGGGTATAATTTTATTTATTTCTACATCATGCTGTTCAGAAATAAATGAAAGCCCAAGTGTCACCAACTATGTAATAAAGGACTTTTTTATGCAAAGTAAAGTAGTTCTCAGCAAACACCACACGTGGTAGCATTTCATCCACACTGTAAAATGTCACATTTATTTTTAAAATGGATCACTTTATCTAGTATCTTAATAATCTAAAGCAACTGGGCCCCAGAAATTATGGATAAGGACAAATAATGAAGTTCGGCTGAGACTAATACTTCAAAGGAAGAGAAAAAGAGGTGTGCATACTGTACTATCAAATTCCTGCCATGCAAAAGTTAGCATATCGTAATCGTGCAAGCTCAGGAGTTATCAGCCACAAATTACTGTCACCAGGAAGACCTCAACATCCCCAGGACGGGCCCGGATGGGGGAGGTGGGAGGCCAGGGAGGACGTTACACAGAGAGCGATTTATTTCACGAACTCAGGACTTCGAAGCTGGGTTGAAGGTGAAACTAGCTCAGTGTCTGCAATATTTCAAACGAGGGAAGCTACACAACCCCCACTTCCCTGCCGAGACAGTTATGACAGTCTCTGGAGAGTGACTGGGGAGGAGCTGGTACCAGGGAGGGCATGGAGGTGGTCAGGTGTGCTGGGGATCACTGCCCTAGGGGTTCTGTGCAGCACACCGAAAACGACCAACTCTCCCTTTTGCACTCTTGAGCTTGACCCTTCGTTTTCCAGGTGAGAAGACGGGAGCCCTGCAAAGGGCAAGGCCCCCATCTACAAAGCTCATACAGCACAGAGCCAGGAGCAGAACACAGGTCTCACAGGTTCCCCAACTGACCTTCCCGGGACAAAATGTGCAATGGGAAGAGACAAAAAGCAACAGCAACAAAAAACCCATTACCCACTCCAAGAAATAGGGTAACAATGGCAGTCAGTCGCTGAGCAGGAAGAAATCACTAAGAAGCGGTGGCACAGATCAACAGCATTCCTGCAGATCGCTATGGACAATGTTCACGGAATGTGGGTGTTTTGATTTCCCAACTCCAGCTATTAACAGCCAGGGTAAGTAGAATATTCTGCAAGGTGTTTTTTTAATACAATTTAAGTCCTTCTAAGTTGAAGGAAGGCCCAAATCAGCATTTCAGATAGAGTCTGCTCTCCCAACTGGTCACGGGCAAGGGCCATGAGAGGTCTGTCCCTTGGTTTCATGGAGAAAAGCGAGCTGACAGCTTGGAGGCAGCTAGTCCTTTCCCTCACCCCCTCAGGCAGCACAGGGGGCAACTCCCAACAGGAGGCAATTCCGCCCCCACCAGTGCACACTGGGCAATGTCTGGAGACAGTTTTGGTTGTCACATGAGAAGGGTGATGACTGGTATCTAGTGAGGACAGGCCAGGGATGCTGCTAAACATCCTACGTGGCCCAAGACAGCCGCCATGGCAGAGAATGATCCAGCCCCGATGTTAATAGTGCTGAGGTTGAGAAACCCTAATCTAAAAGCAGGTCTGACTAAAGAGGCAGGAGGGTTAAGGGGGTGGTGAGCTGGTGTTAGGGGAAAGAGCAGACGGGGAGACTTAAGACAACAGTCTGTGAAACAACAGAACCCGAGAGCTTACCACCTGTCCATCAAGCACCGGGATAAACGGCAAATTATTCCCTGTTGTAGACTTACCCATTCTTTACAGCAACCTGTAACTTTGCCAAGTCAAAGAAGCTCTTTAGAATTTATGACATTTCAGCAGCCAACAGGTTGCACTTTTCAAGAAAAAAAAATTGTTTCAATTAGTTGTCTTTCTGTAAGACTCTCAAAGGCTGATTTCACGAAGGCCCACGTATTTGTTGACTTCAGCTTATTTTTTTCATCAGACATCAGAAGAAGGAAAATAATTTGCCAACTTAAATCTTGGTTTTGCCGGAGATGGTATGCAAATAAGTATCAGCTTGCAACATTCAATTATTGTTAACTATAAACATACTTACTGGTTTATCATTGTCTGCTGGCAATTCAAACACACATCTAAGTTTTGAATCCATAAGGTCTTCCGGTTTTGCCTCCTTCCACTAAAACAATTTAAATTTAATAATCAGGATATTACAAAGCTGCTGGAAGAATAATTTTCTTCCTATAACTGACAATTGCAAAAAAATATTCTTAATGAGAAAGCCCTGATGTATATCAAGTAAAGAACTTACGTCTGCTAAGATTTCAGCATCTTTAACATGGCAAGACTAAATACGCTGGCTTTCCTGAGTATTTATTACACCTCACACAGCCCAGTCCTGCGGCCTGACCCCTCCAAGTCAACCAGCGCTGCTCCTGCTGCTAGTGCGTGGAAAGCACATGGAACAGAGACAACCACCGCTGAAGGAAGAGGAATTTTCTAAATTATGTCTGAGCATAATTATAAATTATGTCTGAGGTAACTGTGGCTCTCCTTAGGAAAATAAAATTTACTTTGCAGGGTACATCCTTCTTAGAGTAAGCGTATACTACCTGGGAGTGGTTTTAGAACCACGCTGCCAACTACCAATGGGGCACATTTATGAGCAAGCCACTATCTGGGCTGACCCCCACTCCCTCCAGCCCACCGGTGGGGATGACTTCCTGGCTAAATCCATGCTCTGGGATGATGTACTCCTGGCTTAATCCTCCTCCTTTGGGCAGTGGAGGGCAGGAATCCCAGGGTATGCTGAGAACTGCAGACCAGCATAGCAAGAAGGTTACAATACGGAAAAAAGAACAAACTCTCCACCCTCGCCCCAGGACCATGCAGGAGGCAGCTAGCGCAACACAACTACCAAGAGCCAAAAATAGGAAACAATCTATATGTCGAACAATAGGAATTGCCAAATAAATCATGGCAGATCCCTTCAGTGGAACAGCATGCCATTCAAATGACACTGAAGAGTACACAGAGAAAATTCACAGAATCATAAGTGAAGAAGCTACAGACAATAGTCTAGTCTGTTCCTCTGTACACACACACACACACACACACACACGAGCGTACGTGTGCCTGCGTGCGTGCGTCAAAAAAGCATCAAGCAAAGATCATCACTGGACACTAAAACCACCAGGTGAGACTGCTGATGAGCAGGATATTCACATGATCTCCAAGTATCCGGGATTACTCAAGAGTATCACAGATTACCTATTAACCACAAGGGGCAATTGTGCCTTGACACTGGGAAGTTGGCAGTCACCATCTTAACCAAGTAATCCAACTTAGCATCACCAATAGAGGGACAACCCAGTATTAAACGCCTTCTGATATGATGCATACGATGACATTATTTATGGAATATTCTTGCCAAAAAACATTTAACCTGAATTTAATCATGAGGAAATAACTGGACAATCCCAGAACTGGCCTGGACTCAAAAAATTCAAAGTCACGAAAAACAAAAAAGGTTGAGGGTATTGGACTCTACTAGAGTAACAACAACTAACGGCCATTTTGGAGCAATTGGAAAATGCTGCATATAGGTTTCTCTGTTAGATAATATGATTGGATTAATGTCAACTTTCTCAGCTATGAGGACGGTGCTGTGACTATGTGAGACACTGTCCTTGTTCTGAAGCGTGTAGGAGTGGAGTGTCATTAAGTCTGCATCTTACAGTCAAGTGGTTTGGCAAAAAAAAGAAGGTGTATAACAGAAATGAAGGCAATGTGGCAAAGTGTTAAATGGTGAATATAGGTAAAGGCTATAGGAGTAGTCACTGTACAATTTTTTTCCGCTTTCTGTATATCAAAATACAAAAAATATAGTTAAAATAAAGAAATAGCACAAAACTCTCCATAACAGTGGTTAGGTCTAGGGTAAATAAATTACAGGTCACTTTTAGTTTTATTTTTGCTTATTTGTGTATTTCCAAAATTTCCTACAATGTACATGCATATAAAAAAATTTTAAGTGTTATAAAAATTATCATAAAAGGGAGTGAAATTCACGTTTATTGTATATAGAGGGCTTGGACCACAAGAGCCCTCAGATACAACAGCTCCGGACACTGTGCCAGGTGCTGGACACACAGAGCACACACTGAATCCCACAACAATGTGTGACCTAGGTTTTTATCCCCCTTTTACAGGTGACCCAATCCTACAGAGAGTTAATGAAAACTGCCCAAGGCCACAACGTTAGTACAAGGCAGAGCTCAGCCCCACGCCCGAGACGCCCAAGCCCATGCTCTTGTCACTAAGCCATGCAGCAAAAGCCAAGCGAATACATTCTTAGATATTCCAAATTTTGTATTTGCCATACATTTCCTTGCTCACACAAATTAACATGAAGTGGTATACCATATTCTGGGAAATAAAAGAAAAAGTAGTAAATGCCTCAATAATCATTCTTATGAAAGGGGAAGGCTGCCTATTATCACTCATCTCTCTCCAACCTCAAAATATCCAGCTTGCCCTCATCTCCTGCCCCAAACTTGAACATCCACAAAGATGGTCATTTATGCTTTTCCAACAGAAAAGGCTGAGTGGTGACATTGGAACGTGAAGGGAAGCTGTGCATAGAAAGCCCTTCACATAAAACTTTTGAAAAGTGCTTCGTAAGCCACAGCTGACTCCCGTCTGCAGGTGCTCCTTGGGGGACCCGTCTCCCAGCTTGGGCTGGCAAGCTGGAAAGTGATGTGGGTGTTGAGGGAGCCCTGCCTTCTTTTTCCCATCTGTGAGCTCAAGGACTGGCCAGTCTGTCCTCGCTGGGGCTGTGTGCGGTAAGGTTCATCTGTACACTGTGATTCCCGCAGACACCAGAATGCCCGCTGGTTCCAGAAAAACCAATAATATCACTTATTCATTTTATAAAAACAAAGTTACCTTATTTTTACCAAAATCAGAGACAGAGTTAAACATGTATTTAAAAGCAGGGGGAAAAAAATGAGGGAAACTAGGGAGGGGAAAAAAAAATCATGCTTACCAGAACCAAGCGGAAAAACAAACCCTCAAGCGTTGGAGGACATTTAAGTATTCCACTCTCTCACATCCCTCTGGGTTCTTGGGGGGGGGGGGGTGCAGGGAGACATGGTAATAAGAGACATTCCCTAGACTAAGGACCCTTTTCTATGGGGGATGGAAGGGGGGTTTAAAGGAAAGGAATCCTCAAACCATTCAAGACACAATCCATCAGAATAAGGAACTGCTAAACTGAGATATAAAAGTCAGAAAAGAATAGTATTCTGGAAAGTTATGTAAAATGTTAAAATCAAAGTTTAAGAAAAACCATAATGGTAGTCAAAGTACAAACCTCCTTGAAAACACCATTCCCCTTTAAAAACAATTTTGACACATTTTGAAATGCATGCACCCAAAATTCTGTACCTAATCATTTTTTTTAATTACTAAAAAAAAGTAAGAAGCATTCAGTACTTACTACTGCTTCCATATCAGAAGTGTCAGTCGGAGCAAACATAGACTGAACCATAAACTTGTGTTTACTTTTCTCATTGGGGTCATAATCGAAAGGCTGTAACATCACTGAGAAAGAAAATATTTCATTAGGAGGGTCAGAGCTTGGTTACCAGCAGCCATTTGTTATGTTAAAACTCGTATCTTGGTTGTACAGCAGTTTACCAGGATTCTCATCTGAGCCTTACAACGCCCCAGGTGAGGCCAGCAGGGCAAGCAAGGTGCCCAGCATCTTCTCTGCTTTTCAGGTCTCAAACCTGACATCCTGAGAAGTTGGGGGACTTGCCTAAAGTTAAACAGCAGATAGTGGCAGAGCTGGGACTTGGGCTTAGGTCTTCGGATTCCTAGCCGCCGATCTTTCACGACCGCCCACCTGACACAGAGGTCAGCTACAGGTCCTACAGACGAGGTAAACCAGGCGCAAATACCATATGCCTTTTTTGCTCAAGACAACAGAGCGAAATGATCTCTTCGGAAAGTAAACTAGACTAATCCAAGACATGTGACGGTTTCATTTTAGCTTTTCTTTGTCCATTTCCCATACCAAGGTATTCAAGTATTGCTTCAAATACAATTTTGCCAATGCAATGTTAGGAAACTTTCACAACCAGCACACTCACAGCATGGGAAAAACACCACCAGTATACAAACCACCTCTCCTCCCCAAGAACCTAGAGGAATCTCACATAAAGGCTCTCTCGGACAAGTCACGCCCACCGCACTGAGTAGGTGCCTCCCCGTTCCTACCGGCTTCCTTAGTACCCACCACCCTTGTTAAATGGCGGCTGCTTTAAAATACTCGATGTGCTGCAAGGCTCTGGCTAAACCACACATCTGGTTAAGTTCCCTGACACACACCTTTCTCACACACAGGAAAAGCCTCCTATAGTCCTGACCATGAGAAGCGCTAACATGGATTCGGCACCTCCCATGAGCCAGAAACCTGGCTCTGTATGTTAGGTCTATTATTACCTCATTTAAACTTTTAAGAGGTAGGTACTGCTATGGAGGTTATTTTAATGCCTGTTTTCAGGTGAGCAAACTGGAGCACAGAAAGGTTAACTAAGTTGCCCGACATCACACCACGAAGGGGAGGGGGATGCTCAACTGCAGGTGGCCCACCACAAAGGACTGACTCCCTGTCCTCTACCAGTTAGAGTGCTTGTCCTTCTCCACCAGCACCTCTCCTGCAGGGCACTCAATCAGGGTTCTCTGGCCTCTGAGCCCCATCTTGCAGCTTCCTCTAAAGCTTCGCCATCAACTACCCCCTGCAGCAGAAAAGGGGAAATGTCCTAAACCGCAGTTTGTCCTAAACCCTAGTTCACATACGAAGAATCTGGGGCTAAACAAAAATGAAGTGACTTGCTCAAATCACAGTGTCAGGAAGCAGCAAAACTTCAACAAAGAGCCAAGTGCAGCCTAGCACCCTTCTGCCACAGTGATCACTCCAACAGGAGACAGATTCACACTCTGTGAATTCACATTCCCCATCACATCTTATAAAAGCAAACACGATAGAGAAAAGAAATGCAAATATCCCTGCCATCCATCTTGGGGATGCAGAGTTCCCTCGACCTTTGGGACAGAGAAAGTCTACCGAAATCTAACACCACAAAGATTTCAAAGTTTCGGTATACAGTCACCCGCGCAGTTCTGCTGCCCACACCACCCATCTGACATGCTCTGAGCTACAGGGGACATTACTGGGAGACTTCTTCAGGACAAAATCAAAAAATCTACAAAGCTTTCTTAAATTCGGGGCTTATATGGGGCACCTGGGTAGCTCAGTCAGTTGAGCGTCCAACTCTTGATTTAGCTCAGGTCATGATCTCAGGGTCGTCAGATGGAGCCCCGCGTCGGGCTCCATGCTCACGGCGGAGTCTGCTTTGCTCTCACTCTGCCCCTCCCCTAACCACAGGTGAGCTCTCTAAAATACATAAATCAATCTTTAAAAAGAAAAAATTGGGGGCTTATCCACACATGATATCAAGTCTGGATACCAATAGTGATATTCTGAGTACCCAAAATCCAAAGTGTGACCGTCAGCAGAGAGAACAAAAGGTCATTTAAAACTCAAGGCCACTCTGACTGGAATTTTACTCTTACAGGTGCAGAGACACGGTTCCCTCCCAAAAAAGCAGTTCTAGCTGGTGGCTTTGGACCTGGAATGCAACTATCGCCCCTTTCGGGCACCACCAAGTTGGCAAGAGCTCTTCTGTGGACAGACCCGGGGCATCGTTACACACATGGGCTTGACACTTAACCCTGGGAACAAATGAGCAGACTAGCAGGTCAGCCCCACAGACTCTTCCTCTGAAAGCTAAGCTCCCATCATGCTTTGTCCACCTCCAGGAATGCAACACGGAAAGTACACATAATAAACGAGGGGGCCAAAGCCTTCGCTTGTACTATGATCTTTCTTGGACAGAGACTGCCAACCTTTTTTGAAGTTGGGCCACAGTGTTCAAACTACTGTCTGATTAGTGTTCATTTTTTTTTTTTTTTTAAAGATTTTATTTATTTGAGAGAGTGAAAGAGCAAGCATGAGCGGGCGGGAGGGGAGCGGAGAAAGAGAAGCAGACTCCCATGGAGCAGGGATCCGGACATGGGGCCCAATCTCAGGATCCTGGGATCAGACCTGAGCCAAAGGCAGACGCCCAACCGACTGGGCCACCCAGGTACCCCTGGATTAGTGTTCATTTTTTAAAAATTAATATGAATTAGGTTTTGAGAATTTCAGATTTCACTTGGCTGTGACAAAATCATGCCCTGATATTTTTTTAGTATGGGAAAGAAAAAAACTTTGTCCTAGACTACACTCAGATCTCCAGCAGCACATAAGCTCTAGGTTAAAAACTGCCTCATCCTTGAGATTTTATTTTTCCAGCTGTGAAAGGCCCCCTATACTCCTCCACCATGGAGAGCTATGAGGTTGAATCAGAATTATCTGTAAAGAGTCCCCAGTGCTCAGGAGATGGCAGTAATCAGAAGACATTGCTAATTTTCAGAGTTGGCTCTTTAGCTCAAACTACACTGGGTCACACAGACAACCGACAGGTCCAGAGAACCTACGATCCCTCCACCCACAAACAGCCTCAGAAAGGTCCACTGTTCCCCTTGCATTCTCCCCCTTCCCCCTTCCTTGAAGCAGTGCCAGTGAGAAAAAAAGAGTCAAGAGGCCTTCCTGTGGATTCCAGGCAGGCGCTAAGGCAAAACTGACCCTTTCCATCTCTCCACCCTACCCAAGTCTCCCAGGCCCCAGTACCTTCACAACGCACCAGGAAAGAAAGGAAAAGGACCTCACCGGTGCCTACTACATACTAGGCACCAGAGAAGGCACGCTCTCATTGCATCATCCCATCCAGTCCTCGCAACAGTGCGCCAGAGAAGCCCGGTCTCACTGGTCTCATTCAGACCCCGTGGCTAACAGAGTAAAAGATGGAGCCAGAGCTCCACACTGGCTTTGCTTCCAGAGTCAGATTCCACACCCAGGTTCTCAAAGCACTATCCGTGGACCCCACGGGTCCCCCCATGAGGTGATCCATAAGGTCGACAGCCATGAGCACGGTAACACCAAGACATTCTGTCCCTCTGCCGGTGCCGAGCTCTGCAGTGATGGCTGGTGCAAAGCGAAGAGTAAAACTAGCAGCGCCTCAGCACAGGCCAGGCAGTGGCTCCCACACGGCAGGGTCTCCGTGTCAGGCATCGCCACACACTTGCAGCTTTTTTTAAAAGGCCGTTTTCACTTAATAATATCCTGGAGGAAGCAATAAAAAGGATTCATTTTACTAAACTTCAACCCTTGACAACACATCTTGACACTCTGTATGAGGAAATGCACATGCACGTGAAGTGCTCTGCTGTCTTGGGAAAACAGCTGTATCATGTTTAGATTGTGAGCTGAACTAGAAGCCTTTTCACGGAACACCAGTTACTAGAAAGAACAATCGACAAAAAAAAACAGAAAAAAATCGGCAGAGTGAGAGCAAAGCAGACAGAAAAACAATGGTTATGCAGACCCGGGTATATGGCAGATATCTGCTCAAAAATGAATCAACTGTGCCTGTCACCTCAAGGAAAACAACTTATAGTAGTTGTTGCCAATGATAAAATCCAAGCTTTCTACCAAAAGGAGACTCTTGGAAAACATCTATCTGACATCAAGGGCTCAGTTTCCCAAATACTTGAAGACTTTTCTGACGAGATCAGTGATTTTTTTGATATTGTGTCATGAAATATGTCAACATTTGGAAGATCTGCATAACTCAGCTAACATACAGTATTACAAAACCCATTCAAAGTGCAAAAGAGACCAATGCATTTTAGTGAAACAAAGTTCAAATAGTATACTGTCATGGTTTCAAGATTCCACATTGTACTAAACTTTAAGAAAAGTGCCACTTGTCAAGTTTTGGTGTAGTATCAAAGTATAATGTCCACAATTATCTGAAAACACTCTTCCTTTCCCCAACCACATATGTGTGGCAAAAATGGCTTCTTTTCATATACATTCATCAAAACAACACACTGTAACAGACTAAATAAATGCAAAAGCACAAAAAGAGAATCCAGCCTATCTTCTATTAAGCCAGACAATAAAGAGATTTGCAAAACATGTCAAATAATGCCAGTCTTCTCACTGAATTTTTGAAGTTATTTTTCTTTAAAAATGTCACTGTTAGGGGCGCCTGGGTGACTCAGTCGTTGAGCGTCTGCCTTCGGCTCAGATCATGATCCCAGGGTCCTGGAATTGAGCTCTGCATCGGGCTCCCTGCTCGGTGGGAAGCCTGCTTCTCCCTCCCCCTTTCCCCCTGCTTGTGTTCCCTCTCTCGCTGTGTCTCTCTCTGTCAAATAAATAAATAAAATCTGGAAAAAAAAAAGTCACTGTTAGCATGTAATTGACTTATTAATGTTACTAAGTGAGTTAATACTCTTTAAATTTCTCACTTTAACTTACAACATGGTAAATATTAATATAATCTCCAAGTGAAAAGGCTCTTTGGGTCTACAATTTTGAGGAATGTAAAGGGGTCTTGAGACCAAAAGGCTGAGAGCCCTGTTATTCTAAA